CGACTCACAAATTCTGGGAACAAGATGAACTTGTTTCTGAACATTAATACATTACTTATTAGTCATTAGGGTTAGTTTGAATGTTACGTTGTAGAAGCCTAGAAGGTTATAGTGTCTTTGGAAAATTGGGCCTTTATTTTTGTATTTTGATATTTGTAACCAACATAAGTATTATTTGGGCTTTAAAATTGTAATGGATTTTTTACAATATTTTAGTATTAAAAGTAATTGTTGGATAGAGAGTCGGTACGGTATTATACCGGTATACCGCGGTATTTGAAAACATTTACTGTTACAGTACCGAAATAAATCGATACAGTATGATACCGTACCGAAAATGACGGTATACCAATATTCCGGTATTTTCCGGTATTTTTTGGTACGGTAAGTGCGGTATACCGATTTTTCGGTTTTTTTGCTCACCCCTAGCTATGATGGCCGAGGACCGAATGGTGCTGGTAGATCTCAAACTGGGCATCTCATGTGCGAGTGTTTGTAGCTTTTGTTTTTGTTTTACGTTTTGGTTTATTTTTTCTTTTACCTTTTCTTTTTTAGAAAGTGTTTGCAAAAACATTAAAAATTGTTTTTCAACTTTTGGTTTTGCAAATTCATCAAATGAAATTTAATTTTCTGAAAACGGATTATTATTTATTTTGGAAAATCCTATCTATTGGTAATGAATGGCAAATTAACAATGTTTGAGATGTCAATATTAATAACATTTCTTTATTTTACACTACCAAAAATTTTGTTATAGACTCAGTTTGTGGCGGGGATCACTCGTTTTAGTACTATGGCATTGCCACATTCTATAATATCATTGTGACATTGTGTCATTGTTTTCGTCGATAATATTATGATATTGTAACATTTTTAAGAACTGAAATTATTTTCATTGATGCCATTGTGATATTGTGTAATAATAGTTGACATTGTTAAAAAGTGACTATATTTTTATTGATGACATTATTGTGACATTGTCATTTGACATTGTGATATTAACATTGGTCATTGTCAAGAAGTGACATTGTGTTCGTTGATGACATTGTGATGTTAGCATTGTGTCATTGTCAAGAAGTAACGTTGTGTTCGTTGATGACATTGTGATGTTAGCATTGTGTTATTGTCAAGAAGTGACATTGTGTTCGTTGATTACATTGTGATATTGTGACATTGTATAATAACATTATGATAGTCTTATATGATACTCCCTCCGTCCCACAATGAACTTCACAGTTTGACCTACACACATATTAAGGAAATAGATTTACTATGGGGTAAATTTTACTGTTTTGACACTGTTTGGCACTATTTTGCACTGTTTCGACACCGTTTGGCACTGTTTTGCACTGTTTGACACTATTTTGATGTAGATTAACTTGCCATTTGAGGAAATGTGAACTTGTTTTTGGGACATCCAAAAAAGGAAAGTGGGAAGTTCATTGCGGGATGAAGGGAGTATTGTTTTAAGTATACGATTAGTTTTAGTCTTATTCCCAATCATTTCTCTATTATCAATGCCTAAAGCAATGTCACAACGATAAGGATAAAGTCATAGTGCTAAAAATGATACTCTCTCCGTCCCTTGAAACTTTGCCATCTTTTCTTTTTGTGACGTCTTATAAAACTTTGTCACATTCCCTTTTAATCAATTATTTTGTGGTTTCTGTTATTTCTCTCTCCTCTGCACAAACCTCAACCATACAGTTTTTACTTTATTATTCTCTGTGCCGGTCAACTTTGACAAAGTTTTAAGGGACAAAGGTAGTAATATTGTAAAATAATGACATTCTATAAACATGTCAATGTTATAACAATGACAATGATAATAACAATATCAATGACAAAAAAAATAACAATGACATTATTATAAACACTCTAATAATGACAATGTAATAAATACTATAATGATGGCAATGTAATAGACACGGACATTCGACATTGTAATAATGACAATACAAATACCAATGTCAATCCCAACAATGTCATGGTGGAAATATAAAAACAAAGTTACAATGTCAAAAATTGTCATTATAAACATATTCACAGCAAATAATGTCACAATATTGTAAATACTCCCTTCGTCCCAAATTTATATTTATAGTTACCATTCATACGGTCAACTCAAATTACTCTTAATCTTTTACTTTATATATCAAATTTTTATCAAACTTAAAATTTCTTGATCAGACTTTGTAGCGGATTTAATGTAGTTTCTGAATATATAAATTTAATTTACTAAAAATAATCTGAGTGTGGATAGGGATCAAGTTGCATTATCGTCAGTCAAGCATCATAAACCGAACTACGAAGATAAATATGGGACGGAGGGAGTAACATTATCGAAGCTTAAATACCAATGGCAACATCGCTGGTTGTCATATACCGTATACAAATATACCGAGTATATCGTATGTATATATTTGTATGAGGAAAAGTATTTTATCATTAAGCATGGATGTACACATAAAATTGTATAGATACGGACGAGAGCAGAACAGAAGAACAAAGAAATTGATTTTCCTCAAATTATTTTTGTTGACTGATGATGGTGCATACCTTTTCATAAGAAATTGAAAAAAAATACTGGAAAAGAAACCAGATGAGCTTAATATAGCAACAAAAATACAATACTCTGTAAAAGACGAAATCAGAAATTCAGAAAAACGAATCAAGAATAATTAAAAACGAAAGAAGAATAAATATTTAAAGCAAAACGATTACCTCACTGTAAAGTTTTGATGAATCAAAAGAGAAGGAAGGAAAAAACGAAGATAGAGGAGGAAGGAGGGGATGATGAGCAGAACAGAACGAACTAGGAAAAACATCGAAAGAAGAAGAAGGGCTAGGAGGAACCACACGCAACAGGGACCACTGCTCCTCGTCGTCGTCTCTGTCTCTGCAGCTACCGCCTCTCTCTGCCGCCGCCGCCTCACATCCTTCTTCACCTCGCTTCCGTTGTCGAAGTGTAGTGTCCAAGCTTCTGTTTTGTGGGATGAAGAAGCTGAAGTTTAAGCGATCCTCTGTTAGCCGCGCGCTAGCCCTCTAGGAACTAGGAAGTACGAACGAAGAGCTAGAGCAGTGGTAAAAAAGGTATGTTGGCTGAAATTGATTTGCAAATTCATATTTTCTTGGTCAAATAGTTTCATTTTGAAAAAATTATCCAAAATGGGACTAAAACTTAGATTAAACTCCATAATAGAACTTTGAGGTTTTCATTCCCTAATTAGGACTCCACATTACAATTTTGCCCTCCTGCTATTAAAACCCAAATCTCTCGTCCCCTTCTACAATTCATCCTTGGCCACGCACATCTGCACCACATCGATGGCCCCCTTCTGCAATCTACGATAGAATTCATCGTAGCAGCAGCTCCCCACATCCCTTGACAGCAGCTCCGCCATCGGCTATGGCCACGCACCGCAGCTCCACCGTCGACCACATGTATCCTCCTCCTCTTTTTTCTTCTTCTTCTTCTTCTTCTTCTTCTTCTTCTTCTTCTTCTAATCCTTCTCAAATTGCTAGTTCTCTATTCTCTTCTTCTATGAATTTTTTGGATTTTTATTAATTTGGATTTTTGGATTTGAATTTTATTTATTGAGTAAAATGCCACTTGTATATTATGAGAATGCCAAAATTATTGGTTATTTGAATAAAAAATGTCACGTTTGTGACATTACATTTACAAAAATGACAATCTGAAAATGTCACTTTTGTTTTGAAAATGTCACTTTTATTACTCTGGAAATGTCATTTTCTTCTTTGAAACTGTCACCTAAGCAAATGTAATGTCACAAAAAGTGACATTTTCTTCTTCCAAATATTGTAATGCCATAAAAGTGACAAAGGATCTGCCCTCCATGAGGAATGTCACTTAATTGACATTTTCAAATACTGTAATGACATAAAAGTGACATTTTGTAAAATACCCAATATTTAGACATTCTCTTATTGAAAAAGTGACATTTTCTGGAATCATTAATCATAGAATTTTGAGATTAAAAGTAATCAAAATTGATAACAAGATATTCAAGTTCAGATATATCTTAAATTATTTGATACTTTAAAAAATCAAAATTTTATTTAAATATATGATTGATAAAATATTTAAAAAAAAGCAGAAAACTAGGAAGAAGAAGAAGAAAAGATTACCTACCTAGTCGCCGATGAGTGTAGGGCTACGGCAGAAGGCGCTGCGGTACGAGGCCACAATTGACGATGGATGAGTGCTACTTTGTAGATTCAATTTTGCGGTCCATGGGGTGAAGGATAGCAGGTTGTGCGTCGATGGTGTGCGACTCTTTTTTAAAAAGGGTAGTTTTGTCAGATTACCACTTTTTTATCCTATTTTTGTCAAATAAAACATAGGAGCCCTATTTTTTCAATACCACGATGTTTTAGTCCTATTTAGGTACATCCCTCTTTCATTTTATACACTTAATTAGGATGTCAATTTTTTATACTACCTCCGTCCCTTAAAACATTGTCATGTTTGACCGGCACGGAGATTAATAAAGTAAAAAATGTGTGGTAGAGGTATTCTAATTTTTAATGTTTGGCAAAGTTTTAAGGGACAGAGAGAGTATTCTAATTTGGAGTTTACAATTTTGAAGATATTTCAATATAGTTGATGAATATGTAAATTTTAATTATTAAAATTTGAATGAATTATCCATAGAGACGATTCACTTTTATTATTGATTGACCAAAAGATGTTACTCCCTCCGTTCCTAAATAAATTTCCAACTTTCCTTTTTCGTCCATTTCAATTAAAACTTCCACTTTCTCTTTTTGATAAAGAATTTGTGGTTCACAACATTTCTTACACATTTCCCTCTCCTCTGCACAACTCTCCACCACACAATATCCACTATCTTAAACTTTGTGCCAAACCCATTTGGAAGTTAAAATGGGAAAGGAGGTAGTAATTTGCAAAACAATTTGGGAGGGAGAAAGTATTAAAATACATACGAGTATTACAAGTATCGGTCCTATCGAGAACCATTTCTCTAAAGTATTAGGTAGGAGCATCAACAGAGACCAATATAATTCAACCATACATGACCCACGAGAGCGGAGTAATAAGCTGAGAAGAAGTTATATACAGTACGATCGATATAGCTGGTAGCTATCATTATTCAAGAAAGAAAGATGGGAAGAGCGGAAGGATGGACTAGATTACGGACAGCCGCCCTTTTGTTCAACGCCATATTGTTAGGCGTCGGAAACTGCGGCAACCCTCTTCTCACGCGCCTCTACTTCATCGGCGGCGGCACCCGGATATGGTTTTCCACATGGCAGCAAACCGCCGCTTGGCCAGTCACTTTCATCCCTCTTTTCGTCTCCTACCTCCACCACCGCCGCAGCCGGAGCCGGACAAGTGACTCCGGTGAGTTCCAACACATCACGCCGTTTCTTTTCATCTCCGCCGCCCTCATCGGCCTTCTGATGGGCCTGAACAACTACCTCTTCACGTACGGCGTCGCCAAGCTTCCGGTCTCGACGGCGCTTCTGATCGGGAGCGCTCAGCTCGCGTTCACGGCGGTGTTCGCTTTCTTCCTCGTGAAGCAGAAGTTTACGGCATTCACGATAAACGCGATCGTTTTGCTGACGTTATCAGCGGTTGTTTTGGGCGTCCGGGCTGGGAGCGACCGCCCGGACGGCGAGCCGAACAAGGAATATATTTTGGGGTTTGCTTTGACAGTTGGGTCGGCGGCTTTGATAGGTTTGCTTTTTCCGTTGGTGGAGTTGAGTTATAGTAAGGCCAAGAAGGCCAAAATTGAGTATAGTATGGTGCTGGAATTTCAGATGGTTCTATGTTTGGCTGCCACTCTTTTCTGCACTGTTGGAATGTTCATAAACCATGACTTCCAGGTTATATATATGTTGCCCTTATACTCCATCCCTACTCAATATTTATGTGTTCAAATCAAATCAAATTTAAACAGACGAAAATGTCCCTCCAATTACAAACATTTTTATTGTGCATTTCCAAGCAAGTACTTCATATGGAGTACTAGACTACTAAATTTGAATAGGCGGGAGAAATCTAGTCTAACATGTACCAAAGAGACTGAGAGAGCATTAATCTAATCAACCAGCAACTTAAGAATGTTTTAATTTTAATTCAAATTTTCGTGTTTTAGTTTAATCAGTTATGGTAAATACTTATTTTATGTGTAGTTTATTACGGAGTATTAGCCAAATTTGTTCTACCCTATATTAGTTTAATTTGATGATTTGAAACTAAAATCAGTCCAACTAAAAAATGACGGCCGACATCGTCAAATTGAATCGAGATTTGTATTTGCAACTGCATTTATACTTGAGTAACTTATACTAAAACGTTTTATCCTAAATGTTTTCAATAGTGTCTCATCTTAAAATTTTCAATTCAAAATATGACATTTTATAAAAACCAAAGAGGGATAAGAGGGATCAGCATGAGATAAGGAAGAAGAAAGAAAGAAGGAAAAGAATGAGGGGAGAAGAACAGGCTGCTCCCTCGCGGCACTTTAGCTTAGATGATAATAGAGAAGAAGATCTCAGCTACATACAATTTGAAATAAGAGGGAATGGTGTTATAAATTGTTAAGAGCCTGTTTTATAATACCTAAATTGGTTGTATTAGCTCAAATTTATGAAGTTCTGACTGAAGTAGTTAGATTGTCTGATTTTGCTGATTTATGAAAAATTTATACTACGTATTTAAAATGTATTTTATTAATAAAATGAAGAAAACATTATATGAAAAATAGCTGAAATGATCTTCCACAGTAACTCCAGCTACTAATGTTAGAAAAGTAACCTTAACCTTACATTTTATTATTATTACACAATTCAGCGCGGAAATGAAAAGTTACATGTTTAATAAAGAAATTGGCTGATAAATCCAATAAGCCGAAAAACAGGAACACCAAACGAGCTTTAAGTCTCAAATTTTCATATATGATTGTATTTTAGGGCTTCATAAATATAATCTGAAGCATTTAGGCAATAATATAGGATGTATACTTTAATTTGATTGATTTAAATTCATTAATCATTAAACTACAACTCATTTATAATTATTAATTCCTTTGTACTTTCTTGGAAATAAATGGGGTGGTTCCATGTAGTTTTCTCAGTTTGATTATTTTTCTAAATTTGTTATATATTCATAGTTAAGGTGATCAAGTATAGACTTCTGCCTTCTAGTATAGATCTACACACATCAAACATAAAAAGGATGACACCTCAGGGGGGCCGAACACCGACCAGACGGTACATTATGAGAATGTAAATTGGACTGTAATCACAATATGACAGAGAGAGAGTGAGACTCTGTCTTCGGTACTTGCAGAGGCCCCATGAATTTTTTAGCATAGTAACCTCTCATCACAGTTGTCGGGAATCAAATTCGGGACCTAACCCTTGTGCCACTCTCTTCCTACCCATTGAACTACGTCCACCGGTACCAACATCAAACCATACACTACCAATAAATGCCAGAATAACAACAAACATTATTGGATCTTCCAAATCCCAAGGCAGTCATTTTGCAATTTACTAGAGACGCTGTGACGTAATGCTGAGTGGAAATTGTTTTTTTTTTGTCGTTTAGAATTCCATCTAGAAACGTAGTGTTGTCTCAAAAACATTAGTCAATTTGATTTTTCTTAGTTAATGGTTTTAAATTTTAAACAATGATTTTAATTATTATATTTGTGTGTAATTTTTAAATTTTAGACTCTCATGATTTTTTTTTAATAAAGAATATGTTCATATAATTTTCATGTTTAAAATATATTTTTATTGAAAATATCATTGGTCAAATTTGACTACTATTGACTAAGAAAAATATATTTAGCTTATCTTTTGCGATGGAGGGAGTATTACCGTAATTTCAAATATTTTAATTCTAAACACTAATCATAATTTAAATAGTGTGAAGGAAGAATCATCACCCGCCTATGTTGCACAACTTGCACGGTAACACGAACATCTTGAGGAAATGGAAAACGGAAAACGTCAATTTTTACTCAAAAAATGCTTGTTTGGAGAGTTTCCAAAGAGTTTCTATAGAGTTTCCAAACGGAAACGTGCAATCTCGAGAGTTTCCGTGTTGCATAGTCGTTCGTAAACATAGCATGGTAAATTGAAAATGACAAAGATAATAGTTGGACAGAACTCCATCCCATTTAATTCAACATTACTAAATTATTTGTATTAGGCGTTAAATAAGAATAAACTAAAAATTGTGTGATCAAGGGTTATGCAAGAGGAAAAAAAATGTTTGGTGTACACCATTTGTGTACATCATTCACACACACTGTTTATCTATGAGGACACAGGTATTTGAATTCAGACAACTCTTTACGAACCCTATATAATTATCTGTATATAGACAATTCTGTCTGCGTAGTCAGACAATGCGTGTTAAGCCCAAGATATTCATCTTGGGGGAGCTCAAAATATTTTTGGGGGGTGAAAATTATTTTTTGATGGAGCAAAATTACTTTTCGTATATATATACACTAAAAAAAATTGTTACAGGAGTGATAAATAAAACATTTTTCACGAATCATTTTTCTATAAAAATATAAAACAAAACACAATTACACAAATATTGTTAATGTTGTGCAGGCAATATCAAGAGAAGCAAGAGAGTTTAAATTAGGAAAAACAAAGTACTTCTTGGTAATAGTGGGGAATGCAATATTTTCACAGTTCTTTTTTGTGGGAGCCCTCGGAGTGACGTCGTACGGCTCATCTCTGCTGTCTATGGTCATCATCACCGTCCTCCTCCCTATCACGGAGCTGATGGCCGTCATCTTCTACCACGAAAAGTTCCAGGCCGAGAAGGGCATTTCTCTCTTTCTCTCCATCTGGGGATTCGTTTCTTACTTCTACGGCGATATAAAAAACAACATCAAGAAAAAGAAACAGCCACCGGCGGCGCTGCAAATTACAGAGATGCCATCTTCCGTCATTTCACCGTCAAGAATTGTGACCGGTCCTTAAAGTCGTAGCGCAACACAACTCGCAATCCATTCCATTGGACCGGCCGGCCGGCCGGCTTCATCGTCTGATTTATAGGCCTGTCGTCTAATACTTTAATGGCATGACAATGGCCCTTTCCAGATGCAATGTGTAGTAAGTACTACTTGTCAGTTGAAATTCAATCTCTTGGATCGTGACATCGAGTATGTGAAAATAAGAAGTACTCGTACTAGTAATTATTGATCTGTATGTGATTTAAATAAAATGGTTGATAAAATTGTGATTTAGATAAAGACGATAGATAACATGTTACTTCTTAATTTCCTATTCACAAACCGCATGACTATAATTTTTAGTGTCTAGCTAGTAGGGTTATGGATATTTCTCTTGCATTGAAATCTTCTTCCTTGAACTATGTTTGTAATTTGAATGGATTCTTTTGTACTGGTCTGGTTCGTTCTGAAATGGGATAGTCTAATTTGAACCGATCTCCACGGATGCATCTTGTATGTGTATTTTACAACAATCAATGTTTTGATATGTTCAAGTCTGTTTTGATTTGGGCCGTTCCAAGATTGAAAACCAGTTTAATTAAAAATAACCTGAGTCTAATACTCTCTCCGTCCCTGAATTATCTTCAAACTTTCCTTTTTCGTCCGTCCCAAAATTATCTCCTCCTTCCCTTTTTGACAAAGAATTTGTGGTTCACAATCATTCTTACACATTCTTACACATTTCTCTCTCCTCTTCACAACTCTCCACCATACAAAATCCACTATCTTAATTAGTGTGCCCAGACGAAATGGGAGAAAAAATAGGGACGGAGGGAGTATGTTATGTCAAAGTCTGGTTGCATCTCTTGGAGTGCTTCTCCTCCGAGTTTTATTTTACATGTACTCGTATATTCTTTACCGGTGGACGTAGCTCAACGGGTAGCAAGGGAGTGCCACAAGGTTAGGTCCCGGGTTCGAATCCTGACAACTGCGATGAGGGATTACTATGTTAAAACTGCATAGGGCCTCTGCAAGTACCGATGACAGAGTCTCATTCTCTATCTGTTAGATTGAGATTATAGTCCAATTTACATCCTCCAAACGTACCGTCCGATCGGGGTTGGGGGCCTCAGCGACAGCGGTATTAAACAATGATGCTATGAATGATAATTAATTCCTTTCTCTCAAAAAAAAAGATTGATGTGATCGATTTGCTTTGGTGTCATCTAGTTTATACGGAGTATAAAATCCCAAATACTATTCCGACGATCATACTATTTGTCTGAAAAATTTCCCAAATACTATTCCGACTTAAAAAAAATTCCGACGCTCATACTATTTGTATGAAAATCCCAAATACTATTTGCCAGAAATTGAAACCATCCAAAAGTAACTGTTTATAATCAACATTAGTCGCATATTTTAATAAACGTATTAAAATAATAATTTTTTAAAATCTTAAAATTAAGGATGAATTCGAATTAATAATCATGGCCAAATATTTTAATGGCAAAAAATACTCCGTATCATTAAACAAATTGTGACGTACTCCTACTTCCTCCGATCCTTAATTAACTTTACACTTTCCTTTTTGGTCGTCCCATATTAAACTTTACACTTCCTTATTTGGCAAACAAATCTACACCAAACAGTGCAAAACAGTGTCAAACAATGTCAAACAGTGTACTCTACAGTAAAGTCAAATTTATTTCCTTAATATGTGTCAAGGCAAAGTGTAAACTTCATTAAAGACCGGAGGGAGGGAGTAATACTTATGTTTTCCAATAGGTAGATTCTATGGTACCCATAAGGTACCATACCTTTGTCCACATGGACCAATGAGAATGTAACAGTTGAATTATTTAAATCTAAATTAAAAATGATAAAGTGATGTGGTCTAATCAAATGAATGATAGGTACGATACCCCATTTTTTAGAAAAGTACGGGAGTTGTCACCTTTCCAATAAACCACTACCCAGCATATATTTTCGATAGTGATACATGTACTGCAAATCTTATGTTTATGTTTTTCACGTTTGTATGATAGTATCATTGATAATATATCTGCTCATATATATGTGCAATAAAATATATGCATTTATATTGATAGCGATGTTTTAAAAGTGGGTAGTACTATTCCGTGACTTCATACCGAAGATATCCTAGTATTGTTAGGGAAACAAAGGATGACACCACATCCCCTCAACCCCGATCGAACGGTACGTTGGGAGGATGTAAGTTGGACTATAATTCTAATCTGACAAGGATTCGAATTCGGGACCTAACCCTTGTGACACTTCCTCGCTACCAGTTGAACTACGCCCACTGGTCCTAGTATTGATAGAAAATAACTCAGGTAGAGGACCGAGTATAGAGACAATTTATAACTTAGGTGAATACAAGGGCTCGTGGCCTATTTAGGACTTTTTCTTTCAATATTACTAAATTAAAATCAATTTCAAAAAATGTGACCGTTTTTACAAAAGGACAAAAAAGTGACTAAAAAGGTGATATATTTGGAAAAATAGTGTCACTACTAGATAACAATGTCACTACACAATTTTAATGTCACTGTCATATGTCACTGTGACCACCGTCCGTGTCACTGCAACCAACATCCATGTCACTGTGGCCACCGTCGGTGTCACTGTGAGTCTGTGACCTCCGTCCGTGTTACTATCTCCACCGTCCATGTCACTGAGCACGGGAGAATATTACGGCGAACTTTTTGGCGTTCCATATATCCCTCCCCTGCTCCCACAACCCCCTCAGACCAGTGCCAACCCCGCCCTAACCTGTCGTTGCCACGAGCCACCGCCGCTGACCGTCATTGTTGGTCACCAATCCCAACCCTTCTCCTACACCAACCCTAAGCCATTTTCCAGCATACCCCAGTCCCCTCTCGCACCTACCCCACCCCTAACATCGATGTCACTATGAGCGTCGGAAAATTATAAATGACTTTTTCGGCGAAACCATCCGCCGACCACCACTGCACTGCTGGCAGCACCGACAGCCACCACCGCTGCCCGCCACCACCCAGCCCCCTGTCTAGCAGCGTTCCTAGCCCTATCCCAGCCCTAGGCCACCGCCACTGCCCTTCACACCCTGCCCTGCTTTCTAGCCACTGCCCAACTCACCCCCACCCCACCCCCACTGCTTTAGCCCCAAGACCCCTCCCCATCCTCCCAAGCCCGTTTCCGGCCGCCGCCCAACTCACCCCCACCAGCCACAGGTCCCCAACCTAGCCTACGACGGCCCAATTTTAAATGCACCACCGCACACATTAGAAAAGCCCTAGCCTCACAATCGTCGCCCAAACGCATACTGAAACAACTTGAATCGGCGAAGAGAAGGCCTAGATCCAAAATCGGTGAAGAACACATCGAGCCTCGTCGATGTTTCACCTGGACCGACGGAGATCGATCGGAGCAAGGAGGTTAGATTGATGGATGCAGCAGGGAGCAGAAATTGATTGATGAAGCAGGGAGATGGTCGGCGACGGGCGATGGCCTGAAGAGATGATCCACGATGGTGTTATGCTCCTGGGGAGTGGATGTGTCTACGGGCTAAACTCGTTCAGCGCAAGGGTATACGAAAAGTTACTTTTGGTGACTTTTTGGAAAATAGAATTTTGGTTATATTTTTGTCCAAGGGAAGTTGAGGGGTAATATTTGTGCCATTATTTCGCCTATTTATAGGCGCATACAACATGTCCACCAATTAAGTGCTACATGGGATTGGCCCAATTTATCAACTAATACTTACACTAATGGGTCATCCACCCTCATAAGTAATTAAACAATCCCGGACCAATATCCACTAGCCGGACTGTGTTCTGAGCTTGGTAGGACCAAAGCTCGAGTATAACGGGCCGATAGTCTTGGACCCGGCCCATTATCCCAACACGAGCCCCCCAATCCCTTAATCGAGTAGTAGACTCGGCTAAAAGAGAGTGGTTAAGATTTTTTTGAAATTGGTCAGGTTCCTAATCCGGCCAGTCGGTCATTTACGAGCCTTGAATTTGATCCAATTGCTTATGAAAGGATAGAGTCTTCATTGTTCCGACCGGGAGACCTCTTCCTTTGTTCATGATGAGGAAGTGTCTCGTTAAAACCATACTAGGAAAAAACACAATGGGAAAAAATCCCAGTGAAGGAAAAAGATTACACTGAAACCTTAAAATAAAGCAAAGGAAGGCTAGTCCCCTCAATTCTTGATTGAGTGTCTGCTTTACTGGTAAGTCAAAATATGTTCCGGAAAGACCAATCGCATGGCTCTTTGCAAGTGGTGGCGGTCGAGTCAAGGTATGCTCGGGAGAGACCACCTGCATAATTGTTTGTTGATGATGGCGAGCCAAGGTATGCTCATGAGAGGCCGGTTGCACAACTGTCTGTTGATGATGCTGAGTCGATGTGTGCTCGGGAGAGGCCAGCAGCTCAGATGTCTGTTGATGATGATCAGGTGAGGTATGCTCTGAAAAGGCTAGTTGCACAGTTGTCCACATTGATCCCCACTGCTTATGAAAGGAGTTGGTTTCCTTCGTCTGGGTAGCAGTCCGGGTCTTGTTTGTTCGGTTACTAACCTGATTTCTTGTTTGTCCGATTAGCACCCCGAGGTCTTGTTTGTCCGATTAGCACCTCAGGGTCTTGTTTGTCCAATTAGCAGCCCAGGGTCTTGTTTGTCCTAATAGCAGCCCGGGGTCTTCTTAAAAATAAAGCAAAGGTGTGAGCCCTCTTGCCACTGCGAGTAATTGCAACGGTCGCCATCTGTTTAGGGGATGGTAAAGATCGGTGTTTACTTTGAGCAATGCTCGTTTGACGTTCTGGGGAGGTTGGAGTGAGTAGCCCACCGTGATGTGTAGTCACTACAACGTAGGGTGCTAAGTCTTGGCGTTTGACGTCTAATGTAGGTCCGTCTAATGTAAGGGAGAGGCGCGGAGCTCCTCGTCTGGTGCTGGGGAAAAGCGAGAAGCTTCCCTGCTCCGCGAAAGAGCAACTTGCCACGAAGAGCAAAGTATAAACTCCTCATCAGGCCCGGTAAAGGGAGATAACCCAAACCGTAGAATCCTCGCTCACTCGATCTGTTCGTTTCCTCGTAGGTATGGCAGGTCGGAGAAGTGCACTTGTTTCCCTGTCCTGACCTTCATTTCCTCGTTGGTATGGCAGGCCAGAGAATTGCACTTGCTGCCCTACCCTGAACTTCATTTCCTCGTAGGTATGGCAGACCAGAGAAGTGCACTTGCTGCCCTGGATGCAACGAAGGATGCTAAGTCTCGGTCTTTGATATCTGATGTAGATCCGTCTAATGTCGGGGAGAACCATGGGGCCTCTCTGCCTGATATGGGGGAGATGCTAAGAGTATCTCCGCCTGATGCCGGGGAGATGCTCAGCTTCTCTGCCTAATGTCGGAGAGATGATAAGATCTTCTCTGCCTGATGCTGGGGAGAACCACACACTTTTTCTGCTTCGCGAAGAACAACTTTGTCAAGAAGAGTAAG